GCAGCAACACTATAGAAAATCTTTGTACAATCAGGAAGGGCATTAAATAATATAACAGACACCACAGGGGAGCAGACTCCTAAGGCGATAAAACAATGTGCAACCTGCCAAGAGCGGGTCTATAACATCCCTAGAGGTTTTGCTTATTAAGGTATTAAGGTTAGTGTCTCCCTTTCTTGAAATGCTTGGATGACTTGGAGGATAGAACTGTTTATTACATAGGAAAATCCTGAGGTTCTTTAACATGATGGTAACACCTGAGAATTTTATTCTGGTATCTAGGAATTTGGAATATATGCAGAGATGAAGAGGAATTGGTTCCAATTTCACAGAAGAAGATACCATCTCTGGCTGCGATGTATCTGTCTGATGGCACTGAGGGATCTGTATTCCATGGGGATTTATAATGTTACCAGATATCTTCTTGGGGAATGTGAAGCATCGATGCCCTGGAAGTTTTCTATACTAAAGAAAGAGGGTCTTGTGTCACTATGTGGTATCTGATTCTATATGCTTGGCCTCTGTGATGCAAGGAGCGTATTCTAGTGATGCGAGACCTCCTTGCATATGATCTTTCCCATTTGTTCCTAGGACAGAGAAGAAATCTATATTACAGAGCATCTGTTCCTAGGACACAATTCTGGTCGAGGGAGGAAATCTTCCTTAAAGACACCTGTGTTTCCCACAAAGCAAATGAATGTGAATTACTGGCATTTTATGATAAAATGTGTTTTTATTGATGTAGGTTTATAGGAATTGAACAACCACTGAGGACTGGGCTTGTTACCATTTAAGACCTGTATCTGACTTATAAGTGGGGAGTTTTTTTACATTGTTTTATTTATTTATTTATTTAGCAGTTTTGTATATCGGTCTTCTCACCTCCGTTCGAGGGACTCAGGCCGGTTTCCAACATCAATATTACAGACAGTCATTAAAACATCATATTCTAAATCACACTAAAACATTAAAATAGCAAAATACAATCATATAATTACAGTGGTCAGTCGTCATAAAAAATAAACTGTGTACAGGCAGTCCCTGAGTTAACTGACCAAAATCCTGAAGATGTTATGAAGGAGATATCATTGGGAATGCAACTTATTTGACCCATGTGATAAGGAATGCAACTTATTTGACCCATGTGATTTTGTGGGCATTTCTTGAAAAGGGAAGGCAGTGCCAACCTTACAGTGTGCTCAAGCAAAATGGCCAGAAGCAGGGATTGACATTCAAATGGTACAGAAAATTATTAATCTTAATATTAATATTTTGCTGTTCTTCAGGAAGCAAAATATCTTGGGGCAGAACTGAAATAAGATAATTTTGTATGCAGAGTAACGTATTCCTGAAGGGCAAGTGCTAACAATGCTGTATTTACTACAGAATTGAGCTCAATGTTTTAGGTGATTGAAAGACATCTGTTTGCCAACATGGGAGAAGGGGATAAAGCACTCAAAATTCACCCCTTGGGACTAGTTTTGGAGGGAGTTCACACCCAAGCCAGGTGCCAGAGCCATTATTCTAAGAAGCCTGGAGCTTAATCTAGAGAGAATGGGAGTTGGCAAGAGAGAACCTGTTGCTTGGAGCTGCGAAAAACCAGAAGGAAGGGAGTACTATTTTTTGGTGGAAATGCATCAACGCACCACTTGCTGCCACAAAGGTCTCCATCCCAGATTCAAAGAATCATAGAGTTGGAAGAGACCCCAAGTGCTATCCAGTCCAACCTCCTACCATGCAGGAATATACAATCAAAGCACCCCTGTCACATAGCTACCTAGCCTCTGTTTAAAACCCTCCAGAGAAGGAGACTCCACCACACTCCTGGGCAACATATTCCACTGCCAAACAGCTCTTACTGTCAGGAAGTTCTTCCTAATCTTTAGGTGGGATCTCTTTTCTTGAGTCCACTGTGGCCTTGTCTTTGGAACAACACAAGCTTGTCCCCTCCTCAATATGACATCTATTCAAATATTAAAACATGACTATCATGTCCCTTCATAACCTTCTCTTCCCCAAAAGGAAACATACCCAACTCCCTCAGACACTTCTCACAAGGCTTGGCTTCCAAATGTTTGATCATTTTGGTCACCCTTCATTGGACCCATTATAACCTGTCTATATCCCTCTTGAATTGTGGTGCCCAGAACTGGACACTACTGAATTAAATTGGTTTTTTTTAGCTGCCACATCACACGGTTGAATCATGTTCCGCTTGTGGTCTACCAAGACTCCTAAACCCCTTTCATGTGTACAGTTTTCCAGCCAGGTTTCTCCCACCCTATATCTGTGCATTTCATTTCTTCTGTTCCAATTCGTGGTTCTAATTTTGGTTCAGTTCTATAAAGTCATTTTGGATTCTGATCCTGTCATCTGTGGAATCTCCCTCCTTGCACACTGTGGCCTAGTCTTTGGAACAACACAACTGATCCCTCCTAACTTGGTGTCATCTCCAGATCTGAAGATGAGCATGCCTTTTATTCCATTATCGACATCACTGATTAAGATATTGAATAGCACTGGGTCAAGGAGAGAGCCCTCCAGCCCCTCCGCTCCATCAGGAAGCACCCTTTGGGTTTGGCTGGTTAACTGGATCTTTGACAAGATTCCCAGAGACATTCTCAAAAAGAAGCTAGTTAAGAAGCGGGCAGATTGGGTTGCTGTGAGCTTTCCAGGCTGTATGGCCATGTTCCAGGAGCATTCTCTCCAGACGTTTCACCCACATCTATGTCAGGCATCCTCAGAGGTTGAAGGGTCTGTTGAAAACTAGGCAAGTGAGGTGTATATACTTGTGGAATGTCCAGGGTGGGCGAAAGAACTCTTGCCTGCTGGAGGCAAGTGTGAATGTTGCAGTTGGCCATTTAATGGCCTTGCAGCTTCAAAGCCCGGCTCATTGCTGCCCAGGGGAATCCTTTATTAGGAAGTGATTAGCTGGCCCTGATTGTTTCCTGTCTGTAAATCCCCTGTTGTTTGAGTGTTCCTCTTTATTTACTGTCCTGATTTTAGAGGTTTTTTTAATACTGGTAGCCAGACTTTGTTCATTTTCATGGTTTCTTCCTTTCTGTTGAAATTGTCCACATGCTTGTGGATTTCAATGGCTTCTCTGTGTAGCTTGACATGGTGGTTGTGAGAGTGGTTCTGCATTTCTGTGTTCTCAAATAATATGCTGTGTCCAGGTTGGTTCATCAGGTGTCCTGCTATGGCTGACTTCTCTGGCTGAAGTAGTCTGCAGTGCCTTTCATGTTCCTTGATTCGTGTTTGGACAATGCTGTGTTTCGTGAGCCCTACGTAGACTTGTCCACACCTCCCAGCAAAGAATCCTCCCAGGCAGCAACCAGCCAGGCTGAGAAGCTGTAAGGCCATTCAATGCTAATCAAGGTGGACAATTGCAACATCCACACTTGCCTCCAACAGGCAAGAGTTCTTTTTCCCACCCTGGACATTATTCCATATATATATAAACCTCATTTGCCTAGTTTCCAACAGAGCCATCAACCTCTGAGGATGCTTGCCACAGATGTGGGCGAAACGCCAGGAGATAATGCTTCTGGAAGATGGCCATAGTAAAGGTAAAGGTTTTCCCCTGACACTTTTCTATTTCCTGTATCACCCAGTGTTTTAACATTTTTAACATTATCTTGCACATTTGGCCCACCCTTTGTGATTGATTTTATGTTATTTTACACTATCTATTTTATTTTGTTATATTACGTATTTTATTATATTTAATTTTCTTTTGTTTTGTATCTTATTTCGCTGTATTATTTTTGGGCTCGGCCTCATATTAGCCGTCCTGAGTCCCCATTGGGGAGATAGTGGCAGGGTATAAATAAAGTTTATTACTATTATTATATTATTATATTATTAAGTCCAGTCACATCTGACTCTGGGGTTTGGTGCTCATCTCCATTTATTTTGCACTATCTATTTTATTTTGTTACACTATGTATTTTATTATGTTTAATTTTCTTTTGTTTTGTATCTTATTTCATTGTATTATTTTTGGGCTCGGCCTCATGTTAGCCACCCCAAGTCCCCACAGGCGAGATGGTGGCAAGATATAAATAAACTTTATATTATTATTATTATTATTATTATTATTATTACTATTATTATTATTATTATTATTATTATTATTATTAAGTCCAGTCATGTCTGACTCTGGGGTTTGGTGCTCATCTCCATTTCTAAGCCGAAGAGCCAGGACTTCCAAAGTCATGTGGCCTCATGACTCCATGGAGCACCGTTACCTTCCCGCCAGAGCAGTACCTATTGATCTACTCACATTTGCACTAGGTTGGCAGAAGCTGGGCCTAACTAGGTTGGCAGAAGCTAAACCTAACAGCAGGATCTCATGATGCTCCCTGGATTCAAACCTGCGACCTTTTGGTAAGCAAGTTCAGCAGCTCAGCGGTTTAACCCGGTGCCACCAGGGGGGCTCCAAGATGGCCATACAGCCTGGAAAACACAGCAATCCAGTGATTCTGGCCATGACAGATTGGGGATTGGTTGGGTGGTCAAACCCACAGGGTTCTTCCTGATGGAGAGAAGTGATCAGTGGAGTGTTGAGTTTGTCAATTGAGGCATGGGCCAAATTCAGACCTCCAGGTGTTTTGGACTTCAACTCCCACCATTCCTAACAGCCTCAGGCCCCTTCCTTTTCCCCCTCAGCCGCTTAAGTCCAAAAGCGGGAGTTGAAGTCCAAAAGCGGGAGTTGAAGTCCAAAAGCGCTTAAGCGGCTGAGGGGGAAAAGGAAAGGGCCTGAGGCTGTTAGGAATGGTGGGAGTTGAAGTCCAAAACACCTGGAGAGAAGGCCCAAGTTGGCCCATGCATGAGCTAGCTCAACCTGCTAATTTGCATATGGTTTCTGATTGGCCAGCCTCAACATTCTAACACTCTGAAGCGTCTGAGGGGGAAAGGGAAGGAAAGGGCCTGAGGCTGCTAGGAATGATGGGAGTTGAAGTCCAAGGTCTACACACACACCCCTCTCCCTATCCCACCTTGAGGTAGTCGTTCTCTGCGCGCAGCTCCTCCATCTCCCGGGCGGCGCCGGCGTCGAGCATCTCCTCGGTGAGGTCGGAGAAGGCGAGCGAGGCGCTGAGGGGCAGCCGGCTGCTGGCCAGCGAGGAGGAGCAGTCCTCGGGCGGCGGGGAGGCGCTGGTCGGAGGGGCCTCGGGGCTCCCTCCTCCTCCTCCTCCTCTTTTGAGCAGCGAGCGCAGCTTGGCCTCCTCGCAGCCGCTGCATTCCGAGCCTTCGGAGCTGCTGCTGCTGCTGTCGGAGAGGCTGGGCGGCGGCGGAGGCGGGCGAGGCCCCTTCCCGACGGGAGAGGCGCCCTCGGCGGCCAGGCGGCTCCTCCCTTTGGCCCTGGCCTTCCCGCCGCCCCGCGCCGCCCCCGAGGGAGACGCCCCGGCCCCGGCTCCCACCGCCCTGCCCTTCTTGTCCCCGCGGCCTTCTTTGGAGCCCGACGCCCTCCTCGCGGAGCCCAGCCTGGCGGAGAACGCGGCCGGGGAGCCGCGTCGGGTCTTGGCCAGCGACCAGCCGGGGATTTCCTTGGGCCGGGCCGGAGAGGGCGCCCGCTGCAGCCGCTTCTTCTCCGGCGGAGGGGGAGGAGGAGGGGGGTCCGCCTCGGATGGAGGCGACGCCGCGGCCATGGCTCTCACTGCATGCCCGCCGCCGAGGAGAGGAAGGAGCAAGGCGAGGATGCTCCTCTCGCGAACAAGGCGACGAAGAAGGAGGAGGAGGAGGAGGACCTCTCTCT